GCTTGCTTTATCCCGCACGTACAACTCCAGAAAAAGATCGCCATCACCGGATTTACTCACCTCCATGACCAGCGCTTCAAACCCCTGCCAGTCGGAGACAAAATCTTTGATGACAAGCCCCGGGCGGGGACCGGCGAGCAGGTCTATGGAAATACGATCCCGGTGCAGGGTGATGGCTACTTCCTCGGGCTTACCAAGAGATTCGGTCATCGACAGGACATCAGCCATCTCAGGTTCAAGTAAAACGGGGAACCTTGCATTTCGGTCGAGCCAGGTTGATAGGCCGATAAGCGGTGGAGCAAGCATCAGCACCAGCGCCGCAACGCCAGACAACGCTGTCAGGCGCCGCAACCATGGCGTTTCCTTAACGCGGCGATCAACGCGTAACAGCCAAACAGATAACCCCAAGCCGACGCCAATAAGGTCACTGAGGATGTCAGCCACAGAGAATTGTCGATGGGTGAAGTGCTGCAGGATTTCGCTTGCTACCGCAAACGTAAGGATCACGCCAATCACGCGCGTATACGCTGGGCGGCTGCGCGCATCAATAAGATAGAGAAAGCCAAAGGTCAGCATCGCAAACCCCGGCCCATGGCCAGCGTTCTGCAATATACCCATCAGATAGTGGTCATCAACAAACCGGGGCACCGGCACCAGTAACAGCACGCCAAGGCTGACGAACAACAGCAGAATAATGCTTTTTTGGGGTCGGCTCGCCATGAACCCGGTCAGTTAACCTCGGATGATTCGAACCTAGGCCAACGCCTCAATCTGCGCATTTGCTCTGGCCAGAACACCGGCTTCATCAAACAGCACAGCGCTGGCATCAATCACCTGCAGATTATCGATACCCACAAATGCCAGCACATGTTTAAGCCAGGGCGAGACAAAGTCTATCGGTGAGCCCAGCGCCGTGCCGCCAGAGGTCAGGACAACATAGGCGGTCTTTCCTGTGAGCAAACCCTGGGGGCCGGTGGCGGTATATTCAAAGGTTTCTTTGGCTCTAGTGACCATATCTATCCAGGCTTTAAAAGCCGCTGGCACCCCAAAATTATAAATCGGCAACGCAATCACAATCACATCAGAGGCGCGCAGCTCTTCCACCAGCGCATCCGAAGTGGCCAGGGCAGCCCGATGTTCAGCAGTGCGCTCTTCCGCAGGCGTGAAATTGGCTGCAATCCAGGCTTCATCGACCATCGGCACGCCCTCAGCAAGGTCTCGCGTTACCACGCTAAGTGATTGTTTTTTATTGATTTTATCTACCAGATTATCCGCAATTGTGCGACTGTGAGAACCTGCGTGACGCATGCTGGCGTCCACACGAAGGAGCTGTGCCATGGTTTACCCCTGAGCAACGTAAGTTTAAAAAGAAAGTGGCCGACTAACCTAGTCGGAAGTTCGAGTACTTCAGCTTGGCCCGAACAAAATCCATAAGACCATGCCGACAAACGGCAACAGCAGCACGATGGCCACCCACAGTGCCTTGGTTTTCGGCTCGGCATCGCTGCGCAGCGTGCGCGTAATCGCCCAGAGATTTGCCAGCATCACCATGATGCCTGCTGTCATTTCCATACCGATACTCCATGCTGGCGAGGTGCGCCAGTAGTGCCGCGCAAATCCTAGCACAGTTAAGGCTTTTGCCCAGGCATGTGTGAGTCGGGATATACTGCGCAGCCTCAATTGTTGGAGCAGGTAATGCGACACTTTTTAAGTCTTGCCATTCTGGTTGCGCTATCGACTGGCTGCGGATACATACCTTTCAGCAGCACAGCACTCGACGGTGTGGTCACACCCATCCCACAAACCTGGTCCAGTGTCGCCGAGGCCAAAATCATCCAGTTTGAAACCCGACCGGAAGACCCTTACTCCGTTAACCTGTGGGTCTTAGGTATGGACAGCTACCTCTATGTTTATGCGGGCGATAACCGCGCTCAGTGGGTTGAGCATATCGAGGCGAACCCCAACGTGCGCCTGGGCCACGCTGACAAAATCTATGAATTGACTGCAACCCGGGTGGTTGATGACCCCGAATTCAACGCTTTTGCCCGGGGCTGGGAATCCAAATATGGCAACCTGCCCCGCAACATGAACCTTGCTGAGGTTTACCTTTACCGCCTGACAAAAAGAGACTGAAACCATGAAATATCGAAACTTAGGCCATAGTGGACTGCGCGTCTCCTTAGCCGGGCTCGGCTGTAACAACTTTGGTATGCGCTGTGACGAAAAGCAAAGTGCGGTGGTTGTTCACGCAGCCCTGGACATCGGCATCAACTTCTTTGATACCGCCAACGTCTACGGCGGACAGCAGAGTGAAGTTTTTCTCGGTCGTGCCCTGGCGGGCAGAGACCGGTCGCAGATTGTTATAGCCACCAAATTCGGGCACGCCATGGGTGATGGCATTCTGCAGAAAGGTGGATCACGGGCGCATATTTTCAATGAAGTGGATGCCAGCCTGAAACGCCTCAACACAGACTATATTGATCTGTATCAGCACCATATCCCGGACCCGAAAACCCCGATCGACGAAACCCTCAGCGCGTTAAACGATCTGGTGGCCATTGGCAAGGTGCGCTATATCGGCCATTCCAATTACAGTGGCTGGCAGATTGCGGATGCCCATTGGCGTGCAGTGGACGGCGGCTACAATCGCTTTGTCACGGCACAGAACCACTACAACCTGCTGCAACGAGACATCGAAAAAGAAGTATTGCCGGCGTGTAAAGAGTACGGCGTTGGCATGCTGCCCTACTTCCCCCTGGCCAGTGGGCTACTGACCGGCAAATATCAGCGTGGCGTCGACGCCCCCGCCGACAGTCGCCTGGCCAACTTTGGTGAACGCGGGAAAAAAGCCCTATCCGACCGGAATTTTGATCAGGTGGAGCGCCTCGCCGGATTTGCGCAACGCCGCGATAAAAATCTGTTGGAACTGGCTATGGCCTGGCTCTCCAGCAACCCTTGCGTAAGCAGCGTAATTGCCGGCGCAACACGTGCAGAACAGGTGCTTGCTAATGCAGAAAGCATCAGCTGGACGTTGAGTGACGACGACTTCGCTGAGCTGGATGCCCTGCTCGATCGCAAGGCAGCCTGACCACCGGGTGTTAACAGGTTAACGAACGACCTCGCCACGGGATATCACGGCGTTTATCTTGCGTGTGTTGGCAATGTCGAGGCTGGGGTCTGCAGCGAGCAACACCAGGTCGCCAACCATACCCGCGCGGATCTGCCCGTTGGAATCCTGCAGATTCAGGAACTCCGCCGGCCTGATCGTTGCAGAGTGAAGCGCCTGCATCGGCGACAAACCCGCCTGCACCAGACGCTCCAGCTCTGTGTGCAGAGAATATCCGGGTATCGCCTGCCCGATGGGTGTATCGGTACCCGCACCTATCGGCACGCCGGAGCGAAACATCTCACCCACCAGCGCAAGACTCCAATCAGACATTTTCAAAGCATCAGCCGAGCCCTGACCAAAAAAGCGCTCAGCGGTCTGCAGCCATTCTGCCGAAACGGGCGCGGGTAGCTTACCCAGGTGCTGGCGCCAATCATCCCGGCCCAGAGGTGAATACTTGAAAATGGTATTAAGCCGCAACGTGGGGACTTGAATGGTGTTCTGCAGCGAGCTGATCACCGCCTGGCAACGGGCACTGTCAATATCTATGCTGGCCAGCGCCTGGGGACGGTATTGCGAATGCATGGCACTGCGCAAGGCAAAACCGCTGACATCGCCGGGTTCCGTCAACGTCTGCAGCCGCTGCGCCACCATAATGTCGGCATCTTCAGCACAAGCCAGCTCAACGTTGCGCAGGTGTTCCATGGTGCCCACCTGGGGGCCAGCATTATCTGCCAGCAGAGCCAGCGGCACGTGAGAGGCAATGGGCAGGTTGTTTTGCCGGGCCGCATCGACAAGGGCAGCAAACACCTCCGGCGACACCAGTTCGTAGACCTTTATAAAATCCACGCCTGCATCCACAAGAGTCTGCACATTGGCTCGCGCTTCCTCGGGCGTTGCGTTGGAAATGCCAATCTCAGGCCGGTCGTCGCCATCGTAAACCACCTTGCTGCCATCCAGCAGCGGGCCACTGAAATAGATCCGCGGCGCCTGAATCTCACCGCCACGGTAACGCTCAACTTCAGGTAACAGAGCGGGCAACATGCCGCCGGTATCACGCACACTGGTGATGCCATAGTCCAGAAACAGCGAAGGCATCTGCTCAATCAATTGAGGCTCGTAGGTCACATGGACGTGCATATCCCACAAACCTGGAATCAGAAACTGGCCGCTGCCATCTATGACTTGAGCTGCGTTCAATGGCGCTTGATCTGATGGTGCAACGCTGACGATCTCATCACCCTGGAGCAACACCGTGACCCCACTTTGCACTCCGTTGACGGCGTCGAGGGCCGTCACGTTGGTGATAGCCAGACTGTATTCATCGACAGGTGCAACCGTCTCAGGCTGTTCGCAGCCAGACAGGCCAAAACCAGTTAACAAGACGATAAGTAAAGATGAGAAATTTGAGCTTTTCATGACAACAGTTGGGTAGCAGCTGGAGGCGATACCATGACAGAGGATGTCAGTTAGGTACAGATGCGAAGACGGCATCCGTTTTCATCAAAAAGGCGCAAGCACCTTCAAAAATATTTCTATTCTCACGATTGATTTTAGCGCCAGGACACCTCTAACCCTGAAGCGCCCCTTCATTGTCATTTCAAGCACAGATAAAGATGCCACTTTGCTGAAACACTTAGACACACACTCGCGGCAAAGCCCGTTAGAGCGATCCGACAGGCTGACAAAGCTTATCTTCGGTGCCGCCTGCGTCGTGCTGGCACTGCACTTGCTGGGGCTCGGCATCTATCCGCTGCTGGGCACCACGGAAGGCAGATATGCCGAAATGGCCAGGAAAATGTATTTCAGCGGCCAGTACCTGATGCCGATGTTCACCGAGACAGAGCCATTCTGGGGTAACCCCCCGCTTTCAATCTGGCTAGAGGTCGCGAGTATGCACATCTTCGGTGTTACTGAGTTTGCCGTGCGCCTGCCTGCATGGCTGTGTTCTGTAGCCACCATCGCATTGACCCACCACCTGGCTAAGGACCATTTTGGCCTTCGCGTGGCCGCCCTTAGCGTGCTGGTCCTGAGCAGCAGTTATCTGGGCTACGTGGCGTTAGGTAAGGTCCACACGGACGCCGCCCTGACCTTTTCTGTCACTCTGGCCCTGGTGGGTTTATACCAGTGGCTGAGCAAGCAGCGGTTAACCTGGTACCTCGCCGGCATTTTAGGCCTGAGCCTGGGCTTGCTGGCCAAAGGTCCAGTCACCTTCGTTTATGTGGGGTTGCCAGTCGTGCTCTGGCTGCTGATCACCAGGCAGCTTTGGCGCCCGACAACCTGGCTGGCACTGGGTAGTGCGGCAGCCGTCGCAACGCTGCTGGTTGCACCCTGGTACATCGCTGCAGAAAACGCCTATCCCGGCTATCTCGAATACTACCTGCAGGGTGAACACTTCCATCGCTTTCTTGACGCGGGTTGGGTGGGCGACTTATACGGGGCTGGCCACGCGGAACCCCGCGGCACCATTCTTCTGTACGCTGTGGAAAGCCTGTTACCCTGGAGCCTGCTGGTACCGCTACTGATTCTTACCCGGTATATCGGCGGGTATTGGCAGTCGGGTTTACGTCTGAGACTGGCCGAAACAAATCCTCTGGTACTCTACCTCCTGTGCTGGGCGATAGGTCCGCTGCTGTTTTTCACCTTCTCGGCCAACGTTGTACCGCCATATATCATGCCCACGCTCACCGCCTGGTCAGTTATTTTAAGCCTACTTCTGGCACAGCTCTTAAGCCAACGCAAGAAACACGTTATCCCGGTGCTTTTTGTTGTTGCGCTGGCGATACCCACGGTCAAGCTGGTGCAGAACAGCACCAGTGATTTCTGGTATGACGGGGCGCGCAACCAGAAGGGGCTGGTAGACACTCTGGTTAAGTTGCGAAGCACTGAAAATGCGGACGTCGTCTTTCTCGGCAAACGACTGTATGCCGCAGAATTCTACGGCAGTGATTACGCTTACTCTTCTCGCAAGCCTGCCGACCTGAACCTCTCGCAGCCAGTTTACCTTGTTACGCGAAGCACCCAATCTTCCGCGACTGTGGGACCTCATTGTCAGCTGCGGGGCGAAGTAAACGGCTATACCATTCATCTCTGTTCGCCGACGTTTTTGCCTGCTGGGAGACAACAACTCAATTCAGACAACACGACAAACTGAATTTTCTGGCCAAGAATTTCGGTTATCATCTTCTGACGATCCACCGAACACATTCTTAACCGGGCATTGGAGAACTGTTGTTAACACCTCATCCGGAGTCGCCGAACTGAAGGCACACCTGAGCAGTCACAACGGCATCAAAGGGCTGGAAATTCTCACGCCAACAGACATCGAGGGAGCCGTTCGGTTGTTTCATCGGGATGGTTTTGTGGTGATTGCGGATATTCTGAACAACGCACAGATTCAACAACTGTCCGAAGGTTGCCAGGAAGTGGTTGATGAAATCCTGGCGCTGGATGAAAACCGCAGCGGCAATCGCGGCTCACATCGCTACTCCTTTGGCGGCTCCAGTCTCACCCGCAGCCAGCTGCATCGACCTGCCTGGCAGATGTTGCTGGACATTCCAGCGGTCACCACCTTACTTACCGCGCTGTTTGGGTCACCCAACTACACGCTCAGGGCTGCAAGCGGCGATTTTTGCCTGCCGGGCGCGGTTGAATATCAGCGGCTGCACGCGGATGTCCGGGACTGGGTCGACAACACATCTTCCCCGTTCAGCGCATTCCATGATCCGCGCGGATTAACAAGCATTCGAGATTTACCCTGCCCCTATATCTGTGTGAATTTTCTGCCTCAGGATGTGACGCGCCTGAATGGGCCAACAAGGCAGATTCCTGGCACGCAGAACTCCAGGGAAAAGATTCCCAGCCTCAAAGACGAGCCGGAATGGATGCGTCTGAACACGGTTTGCCCGGCCCCTGCAGGCAGTATTATGGTTCGTGATACACGCGCCTGGCATGGCGGCACACCAAATCTGTCAGATGAGGTGCGTTCGATACCTAATCTGGAATTTTATGCGCCCTGGTTCCGTGAACCCATGGTGCCTGGCATCAGCTACGCTGACTTTAAGAAACTGTCAGAGCATGCTCAGCAACTGGTCAGGATTTGTGTTGCAGACTCTAGTGAAGAACTTGTGACTGGCACCACTCTGCGCGCCCCTTAACACACTAACCGGACACCCCAATATGCAATATCGAAAGCTCGGTCGTTCCGCGGTCAATGTCAGTCAGCTTTGTCTGGGCACCATGAATTTTGGTCCCCGCACATCCGAATCCGAGTCTTTCGACATTCTCAACCGCGCTATGGATCCAGGTATCAATTTCATTGATACCGCCAATCAATACGGTGGTGATAAAGGTGTGGGCACCACGGAAATGATCATCGGCAAGTGGCTGTCCCAGGACAGCAGCCGGCGCGACAAACTGGTCATCGCCAGCAAGGTGCATGAACCCATGTCAGACGACATCAATGACCGGGGCTTGTCTGCACGGCATATTCAGATGGCCTGTGATGCCAGTTTGCAACGCCTGGGCGTTGAACACATCGACCTGTATCAGATGCACCATATTGATCGCAGCGCGCCGATTGAAGAGATATGGCAAGCTATGGAGCGACTGATTGCCCAAGGCAAAATCACCTACGTGGGGTCCAGCAATTTCCCGGGTTGGGCCATTGCACGCGCCAATGAAAAAGCGATTGCACGTCACCAGCTCGGGCTGGTGTCGGAACAGAGCCTGTATAACCTGCTCGAGCGCGGGGCCGAACTCGAAGTGATACCCGCCTGCCAGGCCTACGGAGTTGGACTCATTCCATGGAGCCCTTTGTCCGGCGGCTTGTTAGCCGGCAGCAGCAGTGAAGCGACAGGCCGGCGTCAATCAGCTGAAGCCAAAGCGGCATTCTTGACACGATCCGAACAGCTAAAAAAGTTCGAGAATCTGTGCACTGAACTCGACGAGTCCCCCAGCAACATCGCGCTCGCCTGGTTGCTGCATCAGCCCGGCGTCACCGCTACCATCATTGGCCCGGGCAGTGCTGCCCAGCTGACCGCTGCTCTGCATGTGCCAGACATCACTTTATCGACCCAGACGCTGGCGGCACTGGATGAGATTTTTCCTGCCTGCGGCGCCGCTCCGGAAGCTTACGCCTGGTAACCGCCGCGCATACTAGCGAGTTGGGCCGTCACCGTCCTGAAAGCTGGCAAACAAGTGTTTGCGGACATCATCTGTCACCGGCACAGCGCCGACCACCACCGGACGGATCTTATCGAGATCCACACTCATGCCGCGCTTTACCGCTGGCCGCTCATACACGCGATCCATCCAGGCATGTAAATGCGGGTAAGGCGCGTGATCTGGATACCCCACAACAAACATTTTGAACCAGGGTATACACGCAATATCAGCCAGGGAATACTCATCAAGAATGTATTCCCGACCTTCGAGATGGGTATTGAGCAGACGTCGCAGCCGCTCAACCTCGAGCGTGTAACGTTCAATCGGATAAGGTAGCTGGTCAGGTGCGTAACGCACAAAATGATGCAGCTGGCCCATCATCGGCCCAACATAACTCATCTGCCAGAACAGCCATTGATGACCAAGTGCGCGCTGAGCAGGATCTTCAGGCCACAGCCCGGTCTTTTTCTCTGCCAGATATAACAGAATCGCTGCCGACTCCCACAACGTGAAAGGTTCTCCACCAGGGCCATCGGGATCCACAATAACCGGCACCTTACGATTCGGACAGATCTGCACAAAATCAGGCTCGTTCTGATCGCCGGCAACAATATCGATGGGGTGAACCTGATAGTCGATACCCAACTCCTCCATGGCAATCGACACCTTCTGGCAGTTTGGGGTCGGGCAGTAATACAGATCTATCAAAACAATGCTCTCCTTAGTTAAAACTGTTATCCGGCAAGACAAAATCAATCTCTGCCAACTGAGCAGGCGCAAGTCCCAGCTTCTCTAACAACTGGAGCCAGCGGGGGTCCTGCTCGAGTTTATGAAAAACGGGGTTGACCACACTTTCTGCCCATCCAGCACCAAGATCCTGATCAGTATCCTTTTCTATCCACGTAAAAGCCTCATCCGCCATACCGGCATAAGCGTAGACTTCTGCAACTTCCGAAGGCCACACGCTGCCCCACTTCTCTATAAGGGTGGCTAACGCATCGCGAAAACCCGCAACATCACCTTTGTCCCAACAGATAAAGGCTGTGCCTTTCACACGAAATTCTTCATCTGCCTCAGCCTGCATTGAAATCGATGCTGCCTCTATATCACCATCGAGCAAGTGCGCTAATCCAATCGCAAAGTGAGCGCCGACAAAACCGGGGCTGATTTCTAAAGCAGTAGAGTACGCGTCTATCGCTTGCGTATAGCGCCGGGCAAATAACGAGTAGACACCAAGGTTGGCGTGCGCATGTGCATTTAAAGGATCCAGACTGGCAACATGTCTGGCAACGCGGATGGCCTCATCCATACGCCGCATTCGAATCAACAGCCCACCCACCGAATTAAGCACGTGGCTCGTTCGCGAACCAAGCACTACCGCATGTTGCAGGTGTTGTGCGGCAGCGGGGAGATTGTTTTCAAAGCGCAGTGCAATCCAGCCCAGCCCAGAAAGCGCATCGGTATTGTGCGGGTCCGTTTCAAGTATGCGCTGGCTGATCTGCTTGGCATCCGGCACCAGGTCATGTTCAACAAACCCCTCACCGACCTGGGTACAGTAGTTGCCTGCCAGGGCATTCAAGGCATCTGCATAGTCTGGCTCGAGCGCCAGCGCCTGACGCAATAATTCGTTTGAGCGCTGCAGTGCGGATTGATTGAACTGGCTGGCGAGATGCTTCGCGCGCAACAGCAGTTGATAGGCTTCGCTATTTACCGCACCAGGCAGGCGCGCCCGATGCTGCAGGGTCTCATGCAACTCGCCGGCAACCGCGCTCGCAATTTTGTCCTGGAGCGCAAAGATCTCACTGAGGCTGCTGTTGAACGTGCTAGACGCTTTTATCGAGTCTGTTCTGACATCAACCAGCTGCAGCCTTGCGCGCAGAGTACTACCCGCAACCTGAATGGAACCCTCAACCACGTAGGTTGCATCCAATTGCGCGCCAATCTCCGCGGCGCTGAGGGTGCTCTGTCGGAAAGCAGAGGCTGACGTTCTGGAAATCACTCGCAGATCTTTGAGTTGAGACAACTCATCAGACAGCGCCTCGGCCAGGCCATCACACAGATGTTGCTGAGCACCGTCCGCAGAAAGATCACGAAAGGGTAGCACCGCAATAGAGGTGTCACGCTTTCTCAGATCGTTGAATTGAATACCCAGCAAAGCCGCAATCAGCCGCAACAGCGCATGATTCCGGGTATGTCCTTCGGCACGCACATCTGCGGCCAGCGGTTCCCGATTTTGCAGCGGTGCAGGAAAACATTCCGCATCCGGCGAACCAGGAACGCCATCCACAATGAGGCAGATGATCTGATCCTGCCGACCGAGGTTAATAAATCGCTCTATCTCTGCGGTCACCCAGCGCGACGCCACCGCAGCCGGTGAACACACCACGACCAGAAATTCTGCATCTGCAAGAGCAGCATCAATGCTTGCACTTAGCCCACTTGCCGCCGCAAGCTCTTGTTTATCCTGGAAAATTGGTAAAAGGCGCGGCAGCCCAGATGGCGGCTCAAACCCTTCAAGCTGGGCATGCAACCAATCCGCCCAGGTTTCATCCTGGTGGCTGTAGCTGATGAAGGCTTTGTATCTGAACGCTGCCACCGGCCAGGCTCTTCGAAGAGAAAGCCAGATCATAGCTAACAGACTTTACCCTGTCGCTACGGCAGATCTCCTGCCATAAGCAGAATAACGCCTGATTTCGTCTCTGGGGTACAGCATGGGCAAAAAGCGATAGTTACTTTAAAAATGAAAGTATATGCTTTCATTTTTAAAGTGACTCGAGCCTTACCAGTGGATAACCGCACCCAGCTTCTATTAACTGCACCGCCACTAAAACTTCTAATTAACATGGCAACCCCCAGCAGCGTTGCCTTCTTTGTTCAGGCGTGCGTGAGCCTGGCAGAGGTCTGGTTTATCGGGCGTCTGGGCACGACGTCCCTGGCCGCTATTGCCCTTGTATTCCCCTTTCTCATGCTGACCCAAACGCTGGCTGGTGGCGCCACAGGCGGAGCAGTGGCTTCTGCTATTGCCAGAGCAGCGGGCTCAGGTGACACCGAAAGAGCAGAAAAACTCATCTGGCATGCCCTGGCAATTGCCGTCATGGGCGCCCTGCTGCTGTTGTTGCTGTTTCTTCTATTGGGCGACTGGTTTCTACGCTTCCTTGGCGGTCAAGGCGACATGCTTAAGCAAGCGGGCACCTACAGCATCATCCTGTTCAGCGGTGGAGTGTCGATCTGGCTGCTTGGGGTTGTCAGCGCCGTCTTCCGAGGTATGGGTAATATGACGCTACCCGCCGCGATGATGATCATCAGTGCATTTATCCAGGTGCCGCTTTCCGGCGTACTGGTGCTCGGTGGATTTGGCCTGCCGCAACTTGGTGTTGCGGGAGCAGCTGTTTCAGCGGTTGTTGCAGGTACCCTTGTCAGCCTGATTATGCTTGTTGCACTGGCCCGCGGATCCTCACCGATCAAGCTGCGCATCAGCACCTGCAGCTTCAGCAGAACTCTGTTCGAGGATATTTTCCGCGTCGCCCTGCCGGCTTCTTTATCCCCTATTCTGACCGTGGCGACCATCATCAGCTTGACCGCCATTGTTGGTCGCTTTGGCGAAAATGCCCTCGCCGGCTACGGCATCGGATCACGCCTCGAGTTTCTGATGATTCCGCTGATCTTTGGTCTTGGCGCGGCAATGACGTCACTTGTTGGTATGAGTGTGGGTGCACGTAATTTTGCCCGTGCAGAGCGCATTGGCTGGGTTGGTAGTGCTGCGGCTGCGGTTCTTGCCGGCATTGTCGGTCTGAGCCTTGCGCTTGTACCTGGTTTGTGGATACCGCTGTTCACTGAAGATCCGGAAATCTATGCGGCTGCAAAAGCCTACATTCAGATTGTGGGTCCAGCGTATGCCTTTTTTGGACTGGGCTTATCTCTGTATTTCGCCTCTCAGGGGGCAGGCGCCATGCTCTGGCCCGTGCTGGCGCTGTTGGTGCGATTCGGCATCGCCGTCGGGGGCGCTTTGTTACTGATCTCTTTAACCAGCCTGGACCTCAATGGCGTCTATTATGCAGCAAGCGCTGGCATGGTGGTTTATGGCATCATCATAGCTGCTGCATTAAAGCTGGGCGCCTGGCGCCAATAGCGCCACCGAGACGTGATCGCACCATCATCTAACAAAGCAGGTTCAGCCATGGAATTTCGTTCAAGCTGCCCGATTGCCCAAAGCCTTGATGTCATAGGCGACCGATGGACACTGTTGATCATGCGCGATGCGCTATTGTTTCAACGCCGTACTTTTGCAGAATTTGCCGGCAGCCCGGAGCATATACCTACCAACCTGCTCGCGGACCGACTTAAAAAACTGGTCAAGCTGGGCCTGCTGGAAAAAATACCCTATCAGGACAAGCCGCTGCGCTATGAATACATTCCCACAGACGCGGGACAGAAGATAAAACCCTTGCTACGCGCCCTGCGCGATTACGGACAGCAACTGGGTTGAAACAACTCACGCGGATGGTTGCCTAGGTCGCGTTTAGCATGCTTGGATAAATAACAGGTATAATGGCGCCCGAATTTTTGCCGAGCTCACTAATTAGCTCACGATAACAACAAAGTCAGGAACGACATGTCAGACCGAAAACTTAAGATTATTTATACCCTCACCGATGAAGCCCCGGCATTAGCCACTTATTCATTGCTGCCTTTCATTAAAAAATACACTGAAGCCGCTGATGTCGCCGTCGAGCTCAGCGACATCTCCCTGGCAGCCCGCATTCTGGCGGCGTTTCCAGACAAGCTTACCGAGGAACAGCGGGTCCCGGATGCATTGGCAGAGCTAGGTGAGCTGACCAAAGATGAAGGCGCCAACATCATCAAACTGCCCAACATCAGCGCCTCGATACCACAGTTGATCGAAGCTATTGCAGAGCTCAAGTCGCAGGGTTACGACTTACCTGATTACCCGGAAGAGCCCGCCAACGAAGAAGAAGCAGCGATCGCCAAGCGCTATGCCCATGTTCTGGGCAGTTCGGTGAACCCGGTACTGCGAGAAGGCAACTCTGACCGGCGTGCACCGGAATCCGTGAAAGCGTTTGCACGTAAACACCCTCATTCAATGGACAAGTGGAGCCAGGCCTCCAGCACCCACGTTGCGCACATGCGGCATGGCGATTTTTATCACAGTGAAAAATCTGTAACGGTGGAAAAAGCAGGCAACTTGAAAATCGAGCTGATCAAGGAAGATGGTAGCGTCACCGTTCTACGTGATGCGGTGCCGGTAGAAGACGGCGAAGTGGTCGACGGCAGCTTCATGAGCGTCGCTGCCTTGCGCGAATTTCTTGAAGAAGAATATGAAGGCGCCCTGCGCGCCGACCTGCTGGCTTCTCTACACCTGAAAGCCACCATGATGAAAGTCTCCGACCCGATCATTTTTGGCCACGCGGTTGAGGTGTACTACCAGGAAGCTTTCGATAAGCATCGCAAAACCTTTGAAAACCTTGGCGTAAACCCGAATCTTGGTCTGGCCAGCGTGCTCGACAAAGTGCGCGAACAGACCTTCTCTTTGCGCAACGAAATTGAAGCTGATCTGCGCCGTTGTCACGAAAAGCGCCCGGGACTGGCCATGGTCGATTCCGATAAAGGCATCACCAACCTGCACGTACCCAGCGACATCATTGTTGACGCCTCCATGCCGGCAATGATTCGCGTGGGTGGCAAAATGTGGAGCGCTGACGGTAACCTGCGTGACACCAAAGCGATCATTCCGGATTCCTGTTACGCCACCATCTATCTGGAAGTCATCAACTTCTGTAAACATCACGACGCATTTGACCCTACTACCATGGGTACCGTGCAGAATGTCGGCTTGATGGCACAGAAAGCTGAAGAATACGGCTCTCACGACAAGACCTTCGAACTACCTGCAGCCGGCACCGTGCGCGTCACGGATGATGCGGGCAACGTGCTGATTGAACACACCGGCGTAGCTGAAGGTGACATCTGGCGCATGTGTCAGACCAAAGACGCAGCCATTCGGGACTGGGTGAAACTCACCGTCAATCGAAGCCGGGTTTCAGGCATTCCAGCTGTTTTCTGGTTGAACAAACATCGTGGCGATAAAGAACAGCGTGGCCACGATGCGCAGATGATCAAGAAAGTAGAAAAATACCTGCAGGAACATGACACTAATGGTCTGGATATTCAGATCATGTCATTGGACCTTGCCATTCGGCACACGCTTGAGCGTGTCCGTCATGGTGAAGATACAATCTCTGCCACCGGTAACGTCCTGCGGGATTATCTGACCGATCTGTTCCCGATTATGGAACTGGGTACCAGTGCAAAAATGTACTCTATCGTGCCGTTAATGGCCGGTGGCGGTTTGTATGAAACCGGCGCTGGAGGTTCAGCACCTAAACACGTACAGCAGTTTGAAGCGGAAAACCATCTGCGCTGGGATTCACTTGGTGAATTCCTGGCATTAACTGTGTCGCTGGAAGACATTGCTGTTAAAACAAATAACAAGCGGGCTCAAGTACTGGCTGACGCTCTGGATGCGGCTACTGGAAAGCTGTTGGAAAACAACAAGTCTCCTTCACGCAAGACCGGTGAGCCCGACAATCGAGCAAGCCACTATTATCTGGGTATGTACTGGGCGGAAGCATTAGCGGCCCAGGACAAGGATGCTGAGCTGAAGGCGCAGTTTGCGCCACTGGCTCAGAAGCTGGCTGACAATGAAGAGCAGATAATCAAAGAACTGATAGAAATCCAGGGCGAACCTGCAGACATTGGTGGCTACTATCATCCGGATCGAGACAAAGCTGCAGCGGCCATGTGCCCCAGTAAAACCTTAAATGGCATTCTGGCCAGCTGAACCTGGTCTGCAGAAAGAAAAAAGGGCGACTCATCAGTCGCCCTTTTTTATGGCTCTAGCCTGACCTGCGTGGTTCTTCAGACTAGGTGCCCGTCCAATTAGGCGCACGTTTCTCAGCAAAAGCTTTTGGACCTTCTTTTGCATCATTGGAACTGAAGACTTTTGCAGACAACGGTACCTGCATCTCCCACAGGGTTGCTTCGTCGTATCCTTGCGCTGCGGCGCGGACCAGGGACTTTGAGGCAGCTACTGCAAGCGGGGCATTTTCCGCAATGCGTTCCGCCCAGCCGATGGCCGCATCTAACGCCCCGCCCTGCTCCGCCAGCTCGCTCAACATGCCACATTCAAGGGCCACTTCGGCGGTTATGGGTTCACCGGTTACCGCCATTTCCATGGCCTTTGTATAACCCACTCGCGCCGGCAAGCGGAACACACCACCAGCTGCAGCGAACAGACCCACCTTTACTTCTCGAATACCTATTTTGGCACCTTTACCGGCGACCAGAAGATCACAGGTCAGTGCAATTTCGCAGCCGCCTGCAAGTGCATAACCTTCGATAGCAGCAATCAGCGGCTTGTTACATCCCTCACGAATAAATGTAGTTAGCGGACCGATATCCTCGCCCCGTGCAAACGCCTTTAAGTCCATACCCGAGCAGAAAGCGCGCCCGTTCCCGGTAATAACACCGGCTGTCAGAGTGTCATCCTGATCTAGCTCACGAACAGCATTCAGCAATCCATGTGACAGAGCGCCGTTGATGGCGTTCATGGCATCCGGTCGATTCAGCGTGATCACCATGACCCTTCCGCGCCGCTCTATCAGCACCGCCTGCTCGGTTGTCTCTTCACTCATATCTCTCTCCTAGCTAATTAGATCGAGCGTACATTCTGCATGAAACAGGTCTGCCTGCGAAAGCGCAAGAACGTAACTTTCTTTCAAGTTTGTAGATCCATGAAAGCAAAACCTACTTGTTCTTGTGCTGCTGTCCTGGAGAAAATCACAACCACAACGGCGTTTACCCTGCTTGAACAACAAGTGCACCCACGCCCATGTCTTCGCTATACATCATGAGGCTGTTAAAGTATGCAACGTCAATTTTCCGCTACCCTGGCTGTGTTCGTTTTAGGGGCAGCAACCCTTTTTACACCGATGAGCTGGGCTTCAGACCCAAGCCATGAACCACATGCCAATGATCACGCTCACCATCACGGTGAGGACGGACACCCGAACGAGCACGACCACCACCATGGCGAAGATGGGCACAAATCAGAACACGAGCATCATCATGGTGAAGACGGTCACGTCAACGAACACCAGCATCATCACGGCGACGACGGCCACAAAACTGAGCACCAACACCACCATATAGAAGGTGTTGATGATGAAGATCACCATCACCACGCTGCAGAAGCTTAGACAGTAAACGAGGCACCTTAACGCTCCAGTGTATAGGTCAGATCAGCGCCACTTTTCTCAGTGGATGATTCGCTGGCCAGGCGCCATTTGCTCGACAGAATATATTCAATCTTGAGTGTATTAATGGCGTCCAGAATGCCGATCCCATAACTGACATAGAGCCTGGGAGACAGATATTTACCCACAACAAGCGAGGCTTGTTCGTTTGTCTCCCCTGCGGGCGCCTCTATGCCGATGGTGTCCACACCCAGCTTGTCACCATATTGTTCCGTCAGATAATTCCCGCCCTGGATGCCAAGGGCAAGGGCGGCACGGCTGAGGGCGGAGGACTCACTACTGGTGCCCTCGTTGAGGGGGCGTCCCAGTATCAGGTACGCCAGTTGATTTGACTGGCTCATTGCGGGCTGAGAAAAAATGGAAAATTCAGGTGCACGAAGGCTACCCCGCGCGATCACACCCACTTTCACATCTGGTGTTGCCTGCCGTACGGCGCGCACATCCAGGCCGGGTTGATCAATAGGACCACCAACAAACAGCAAGCGGCCCCTCTCGATAGTTAAATCCTGACCGTAGGCCTGATACCGCCCCTCTACGACACTGACTTCACCCTGAGCCGTTGTGGGCTCGTCGGGTAAATCAGTGATATTCAACGCGCCGGTAAACGTAGACTTCAGACCAAAGCCTTCAAAAGTAACCGCATCATTGAGCAGCAAACGAATTTTTGTGGTGACCTGTAAATTTTCGCTCACGTCCGCCGCCTCGGATTCCGGCGTGACGATGATCTGATCGTCACTGACCGACGCTGCCGTTTGCGGCAGGCTTTTCAATACTATGTCAGCTTTATCAACTGAGATGTCACCAGATATTTCAACCGCACCCTGGGTGAGCTGCGCAGTCACCTTTGGTGAAGCAATGATTTCTGCTTCTGGCGTATTGAGCAGCAGGAACCGACTACCGGTTAAATCCACCCGGCCATTCATACCCTTGCCGATGTCCCGCAGATCTCCTGACACAGACATTTCGCCGCGGCCAGACAGCGCATTACCCTCAAGCGTCAGATCATTATCGCCACCGCCGCGTAGAATGAGGTTAACCTCGCGCAGCCTCAGTCCGGGATCGGGTAAGGTTGCATTTGTGTTACTTAATATCAGGTCGCCCGTCAGGTTCGGTGCCGCAACGGTTCCGCTGATACGCAGATTGCTGGTGAACACCCCATCTAACTGACTGACACCAGGTATGAAATCCGCCACCCAGTCGAGATCACTGAGCTTGGCAGCGATATCAGCTTCGAGTGCCCGGGTAGAAAAGCCTTCGCCTTGATCCGCTGCGATGCTGACTTTGGCTTGCAGGCCTTCTTCACCATTGCGCGGCAGGTTGATGTCCGCCCGCAGAATGTCATCCAGCAAATTGCCGGACAACTTACCCGGCGCGAACGCTAAAAGCGTCTGCTGGTCACCGCGACTGTTGAGTTTCTGCAAAACAACTGCGCTGGTGCTTAAAGACAGATCCGCTTGCGCAGAACCTGTGCTGAGATCCAGGTCTGCCGACAGGTCACCCTTGATACGCCCCTGCAGACTCAACGTCTCCGGCAGGAAACTATCCAGCACGTTGATTGACAGGTTATCCAACGTTACTAATCCACTGACTTTGTCTGTATAAGAACCGGTGGCTTGGGCACACAGTTGCTGCAGGTTGTCAGCATCTGCGCTTTGCACATCACCCTTCAACAAACTGAAACACGTATTCTCCAAGCCAAAAGAGTTGGCACTTACCGTAGCTGTAGATGCGCGCGCCTCGTTTGGCTGCAGGAGCGCAACAGCAAGTTCACCCTGACCAATGTTCAGTGCGGTTACAGCAAGTTGCCAGATGACATCCTGCCAGTCGCTTAACGGCGCCAGAGCACCCAGCGCCGGCAGCGTTGACAACGAACCCAGCGCGGCAAATTCGGCTTGACCGGCTTCGTTTGTCATAGACAGCCTCAGAGAGTGGTCTGCATGACTACCCTCGAGATTAAGCGTCACCTGCTGCAGTGACGTCTGCGCAACGTCTATATCGTCAACAACAACCTGCAGGGACAAAGGCAGTTGATCAAGGCCAAGATCCGCTGATATCGCAGCATTTTGAAGGCTTAATCCCTGCAGCCGGATACCGTTCATAACAGCTTTCGTTTGCAATCGAGGCTCACGTAGATTGCCCACCAGCTGTCCACTTGCCTGCACTGACCCTTGTGCCTCCTGCTGCCACAGCGACAGGTCAGCCAGAGAAAACTGCCAGTTAAAGTCTGTGCGTCCCGTATCGCTTAACGCGACAGTGCCATTCGCCTGCAGCGTGGTATCCAGAGTTGTGAATTCAAGCGACGGCAGTAGCAACTCGGCATCTGCGTAGGACCCCATCATCTCTGCATTCACCGGCATGTCTCGCAGTACACCGTCAAGCACCAGATCTGTCACGTTGATACGTGCATCCTGAAGCAACGCATCAGACGGCAGCAATGCATCTCCCTGCACCGAGAAATTCAGCTGTCCGGGCCAGTCCGGCAGTATGCCTCCTGTATCGAGGGTTGTGCCGGTTAAATCGAAACTGGATGTCAGACCCGATTGCCAGTCAACCTGTGCCAGACCGCGGACCAAACCACCCAGCACCGCCAGTTCAAACTTCTGCACAGCAAACATCGTGGTTGAGCCGGCGCCAGTGATATCAAGACTGCCTTGTGGATATTCAGGCAGCAGAATGTCTGCTTTGACGCTCACCTGATAGTCATCAACCTTGCCACTGATCTCCGCGTGACCGGTTTTACTGGCGACAATGTTCACCTGCCCGGCACCCAGTGGCCAGACCAGGTCCTGCCAGTCGATGCTCAAATCTACGGTTGGATTGTTGTCGAGGGTTCCAGCGAAGGTCAAATCTCCCGTCACGCGCAGCGCTGTCTGGGCAGCGCTGATGTCAACTGTCAGGCCCGCTCGCGCAGCATTGCCTTGGGCAGCAATTTCAGCGTCCAGCAATACATCTGGGAGATCCGCTTGTAGCGCCTTGAGTTGTGCACCCATGACGCTGACGCTGGCTTGCCACTGAGGTGTTGCCAGTGCATCAGTGATGTTTGCCCTTGCATCTACCGCGTAAGGCGCGTCAATCTGCTGGTTCACTTTCAGCTGCGCAAGCGTGCCGCTCACCCGGGTGCGCCCGGCCACATCCGGCAGCTGCATACTTGCCATGCTGATTGTGTAAGCCGCATCAAGGCGCAGTGGCCAGTTACCCTTTGGATTAACGTTGCCATTTGCCTGGAGATCAATCTCAGGTGTTTTTATCTCCAGCTCAGGCAGATCGATCCCTGCCTCGTCCCACACCAGATCAATCGCAGCCACGCGATCCAACTGCGCCCGTTCGCTGGGGTCAGACGCCGTCAGATCCTTCCGCAATATCACAGCCTGAGTCAGTTCAAATTCATCAACGCGGATTGAGACCGGCAGAGAAAGCGACTCCGGCAAGGGTGATGCCGGCTGTGGCACGTCCGGTTTTTCTACATCGGTACCGATCAGAACCACCCGCAGCCCCTGCAGGCGAAGGTGTTCTACATGAACCAGGGCGTCTGAAAAAAGAATCACACTGGGCAACCAGTCCAGATTCGCCTCCTGCAACTCCAGGGCAATGGACTCATTCTCATAACGCACTCCACGCAGAGAAAGCGGCCCTGCAAGCGTGCCTTCAACCTGCTCAATAACAAGCTGACCATCCATCAGCCACTCAACTTGAGACACCACAAAACGACTGCCTGGGTTGCTTGCAAGCGCTATCCACAGAGCGACAAGTACAACGATCAGCAGTACCAGAACGCCACTTGCCAACCAGGATATTGTGCGGCGGGTTCGGATCAAAGGTCGGGCCCTACGGTGAGGTGCAAGCGTATGCTGGTATCCGGGTCGTCCAATGGATGGGCAAGATCGACACGAATCATGCCAACTGCCGTCAGGTAACGCAGTCCGATACCTACAGATGACTTCAGATCAAATTCAAAGTCCTTGGTTGCGTTACCCACGTCATAAAAAGCGGCAATACCCAGATTACCCCGCACCAGATAGTCGACCTCGATACTGCCTGTGGCCAGGTAGCGCCCGCCTACTTCGTTGCCATTTTCATCAATGGGCGAGAGCGCTTCATAAGCATAGCCACGTACAGAACGATCGCCGCCAGCATAAAAACGTTCTGAAGGGGGGAGTTCGTCAAACTGCTTGGTGCTGGTTGCGCCAAAGCCGCCGCGCAGCAGCAGCCGCGCGCGCGAAGCCAGCGGCAGCACAGCATTGGCATGCAGCGACGCCTGCAGGAAAGTAGTGTCGGTCAGCGGACCTTCAACACCGCCATGGACATCCAGTGTTGCGGAAAATCCTCGCCGGGTATAACTGAGATCATCAGCCGTCTGATAGTTCAGGCTGATACCAGGTGTGAGCAGAATCGCCTGGTTGGTGGGTTCATCTCCAAATTTGAAGTTCTCCGAGCGATAGCGCAGGTAAAGCTGGCGGCGAAAAAGCCACCAGCTATCCTGCAGCCGCACACCGACACTGAACTCATTCGTCTCCGCATCGGCAACTTCCAGTTGCTCGGTTTTAAAGAAAAATGCCAGATGATCCTGATCTACGTTTGCGACGGGGATACGGTACTCTCCCCCTAAGGCCGCATTCCTGGCAGAACCTTCTACTTCTGCACTGAAGCGATGTCCCCATCGATTGATTCTGCGGAATTCCACACCGAGACCTGCGCGAGGACCGGTGTCCGTGCCGTAGCCTAACTTGGTTGTGTACTTCTGTGGCTTCATCGGCTCGGCACGCAGGGTCACCGGGATTCGATACTCAACGGCGTCCCTGCGACGGATTTCGATATCGACACTTTCAAAGTAGGCGCTGTCTGCCAATGCCAGCTGCAGATCGACCAGCTTTTCAGTATCAAAGGGGTCGCCTGGTTTGATTTTAACAAAGCGCTGCACAAACTCATCATCAAGAATGTCCTGTTCGATCTGCACAACGTCAAAAAAATACTGCTGCCCGCCTTTCAGAGTCAGATTGATATCAGCGACTTCCTGCAGTGGATAGACCTTCATTTCGGCAACGTTGAAACGCGCATCAAGATATCCCGCCCGATAAGCAGCTGTTTGCAGACTGGCTTTCAGACTGTCGTACTTCTGATGGTGTAAAGCCTGACCCGAGGCGACGGGGCTGGCTTCCAATAAGGTTTTTATCTGCGGTAGTCCACCGGCCGAACCCTGCACCTCAACTTTGACATCACGCAAAAAAACCTGCGGGCCGGGGTTTACCTTGAAACGCGCAACAAAATCAGCCTCTGCTGTTTCATCGGTCCGGACAATTTCTTCAAGTTCACTGGATATCGCCGGTCTGTAATAGCCAAAAGGCTGCAAAGCTCGTTTTATCTCGTCCGTGGCACGTCCATACAGGCGCTTCACGCTGTCCGGCGAGATGGTTTCGTTATCTTTGGCCAGGCGCTTCGCCTGAGCGTTCAAACTGATGTAAGCAAGCGCGTTTTCTTCCAGCACTTCCGACAGACCTTCGATCTCAACTTTCACCGCAGCATGGGTGAGCGTGCTGAAAAAAATCAGGCTTATGGTTATGAGATTTAAAACAGGTTTGAGTACAGACATCTTCATCGCAGTATTATCCGAGTACCCACCGCGAACAAAGTTCCGGCGGCACTTACCGCATTGTGTGGTTTTTAAAGCAGGTTCCGCGGTTTTTTGGCATTACGCGTATTGCACAATCAGATTCGCTGCGTTTAAAACGCGTCCTCTACAAGACTACACTGTTCCAGCGGGCAAACAGCTGAATAATAATCTGGTTTTGTAAGTCCAATGGAGCACCGCCGTATGCCTGCAGGCCTGCAAGCCAGCGCGGCAAATCGGCTCCCCTGGGTTGATTAGAGCCTGCCACCCAGAGTTAGAAAGAACTGCGTGTCATCAAGCGCCAGTGCACGACGCCCGGAAAAGTCAAAATCATGTTCTACATAACGAGCTGATGCGCCCAGGGTAATCCCATTGCGTAGTTCAACTTCGATGCCCGCTCGAGCATAAGCTGAAACGGAAAAGTCGTTTGAGCTGTCACCAAGCTCAATGATCAGAAAACTATTCGGTCCGTTGACAAGCAGCCCGCCCTCTTCTTCTGCATCATCATCGCCACTGAGATAACCCCACGCGATCGAAGGACCTGCCGCTGCATAAAGCCGCAGCCACGGCGTTGGTCTTACGGCAACAACACCGCCCATGAAAAAGTCGAGCATGAAAAACTCACCCTCTACAGAGACTTTCAAACCTGGGTTACCACCGGCGAATTCGACTTTGTCACTTTTCCAGGACACTAATCCACCGCCTTCAAAACCATACTGCGCGCGCTCACCCCAAAGCATCTGACTGACACCACCCCCCAGAGGCAGGTTGGCATAGTCACCGCGCAATTCATCTCCTGAGGCAGGGTCATTAATCGACCAGGCTTCGTCAGCGTCCGTGGTGCCCAGCCAGACCTGGGTATACTGCTGCGCAAGCGTTGACGGAATTTCCGCATCTTCCGCGTGGGCAGGCGAAAGCGACCACCACAACAGCAGAAGCGGTAGAACTGCATTCAAGCGCCTCACGTCAGAGTACCCACCCGTCGTTCTGCATCAGCAAAGGTGCCTCCGCCGTATCCACTAACGAGAAACGTTAGCCCAGGTTGTTCTGGCGATATCTGCCGCCAGATTCGCAACTGAGCCGGGTTCAAACGTTGATGAGCGACCTATCCAGACCGGTTCTCCGGTTTCTGTATCAAATATGGTGGTCACCAGAATCATGGTGGTTCGAACATCCGTGTAGCCTTCACGTACCATGGTCACCGTATTACCGCCCCCATAGTATGAGCCGTAACCGGCATAGTACGGCCCGGTGTAATAGGTGCGCACAGACTCCGGCACGTAGTCCTTTTCTTCCTCAAAATTTGACAGCTTGGTCGCCATGACATAATCGATGTTGTGCTTTTCAACATAGGCTTCCACAGCTTCTTTGGTGGGATAGCTATCTCCCAACACTGCCAGGCTTGTTACACCCTGATGGCCAGATTTCAGTATTCTGCGTTCAATTTCTTTTTCAAACAGAAAGCGATGTGTCTGATTGCTGGTCACAGCGACGACCAGCACATTGTCTATCTGGCTACGGCTGAAGTCTTCGGCTTGCCAGTGATCCATTTGTTTGGTGGTTGTACAGGCACTCAGCGCAAGCATGGCGGCAACAACAAGTAAGGCTTTAATCATTCAACTTCCAGAGTCAATTTAGTCAATTGCGCTTCTGAGGCAGCGCTTCAGATCCCAACGTGCTCACCAACAGGAAAGCATTGGCAGTGTAACCCAACTCCGGCAAAATGTTTGTTTACGTAAGTCTAAAGCCGTGAATTGAGACGTCGCCGAGCCATCCATTATCTAACGTTCCTGTTCCGCATGACATTACTCGCTCTGGGTTTCAGTTCTCCTGTGTATGCAGAGAGCTGGCTGGAACAGTTACGCAGCGCGGATTTGAATGACTATGCGCTGGGCCTTGCTGTCACAAATGCTCAGAACCCCTACGAAGGCGCAGAGAACGGCGCATTTTTTTATCCGTACCTGACTTCTTTTAGAGACTCGGCAATGACCGACGACTGGTTGCTCATCCGTGAAGGCAACATTGGCATACGTTTTGTTTCTGACACTGACTGGGAGTTCGGTTTCCTCACTCATGTGAACACCCTGGGTTTGGGCAACAACGACGCCGCCGAACTCACTCAACTACGCGAACGAAACTGGACCCTGGAAGCTGTACCCATGATCGGTTACCGAGGCTGGCCGGTGCACCTCAACTTGAAATCTTTTGTCGACATTCTCGGCCGCCACAACAGTGCCACCTACAGCCTGTCCGCAACCTGGCCGATGCAGTTTTCACGCGGTTATCTGGTGCCCGGGGTGGAGGTTGTGCATGCCGCCAGCGACTACAACCGCTACTACTTCGACGTTCGTCCAGAAGAAGTCCGGCCGGATCGTCCAGCCTACACAACTGGTGCCAGCACCAATACTCAGCTGAAACTGCGCTGGGGTTATGCACTCCGAGACAAATGGCTGCTGGCTGGCAGTATGAGCCTGGAGCTGCTGGATAACGCTGTCGAAGACAGCCCTATTGTTGGCCGCAGCCACCTATGGTCAGCCAGTGTCGGGCTGGCCTACAACGCAAACATGTTCAGACCCCGCAAGACCCAACGCCAGTTACCTGACCGCTTCGAATTCCGGGTAGGCGCGTTTCGCAACTCGATTGATTCTACAGTTTCCTATGCCGACCCGGATGGCAGTAGAGGCAGCCGTATAGACATCGAGGATGAACTGAATGCGCAGGGAGAGGCTACGGTGCTGCAGCTGGAGGGCATCTATCGAATCGGCCACTTTCACCGTGTGCAATTCAATTACCTCAAGCTCGAACGTGACGGCTTAAAAACCTTGTCTAAGGATATTTCCTTCGGCGCTGCCGACTATACAACAGGCTCCATCATCGAAAGTGAGCTGGAAACTGAAATTGCACAGTTAAGTTACGGCTATTCAATTTTGCGTGACGATCAAAAGGAACTTGGCGTCAGTGCAGGGCTGCACTATGCAGGGATCGAAACGCAGATAGCGTCACCAGACACCGGCACGGTAGAATCGTCAAACTCGCACACGCTGCTTCCTGTTATCGGGGCATTTGGCTCCGTCCAACTCAGCGCCAGAATTACCGTTGGCGCCAAGGCACAACTGTTCCGCATGGATTTTGATCGCTACGAAGGCTCAGTGAATTCATTTCAGGTGTACGCTGAACGTGCTCTGGGCGAAAATGTACTTCTGGGTCTGGCGTACAACTATTTCAGCGTCAACCTTGAATCAACCGACGATGATATTCTGGGCAGAATTTCCAGCAAGCATACAGGTCCGGCACTCTACTTCTCGTTCCGTATCTGAGCCCACCAGACAAATTTTCAGGGATTCAGCAGCGCATCACGTATATCACCTAATTCATCTGCAACGTTATTGCTCAAACCACTGATTGCGCCGCCTTCGCCGTCTGCATTAAATGACCAGATGGTACCCGACCAGACCAGCCGACCACGGTCACCCTCAATCAGAAAGGCATTCACCTCCGCAAAAACCGGTTCCGCAGGATCAAAGTCGCGTTCAACAGTTGCGGTATATTCATAGAAAGCCGCCAGGTCCGGGTGCTTGGTTGTGACCCGCAACGGGTTATTGATAACCCCTTGTTCATCTGCAACCACCTGATTCACCACCAGAACGGCAAGTGCATTACGTTTATTTGCAGCATCCAGAAGATTACGACGCGTCGTCGCTGGGATCTCAGGCAGGTCTACATGACTGGCATAAGCAAACATGTCACGGGCACGGATATCTTCGACCAATCGATCTTCGATCGCGCGCCGCACCGACTCATCTGTGGTGTACCCCAGCACATAGACGCCACTGCGCTTGGAAAAGTCATAGCTGACAACGTCGGTGTTAGAAGTACATCCGGCAAGAAGAGAAATAACAAGTGCTACGCACGCCAACGATAAAATCTGTCTGGTCAATGTTGCAAGCCTCTTTGACAAAAACTGGAAGTGTATTTTGTCGAATGCTAGCACAGTCCTCTAGTGGCAAGCGGCATCCCACCTTGTTTTTCAGAACGTCAGCAAAACACCAGCAGTTAACGCACCGTACTGATAGTCGAGCTTACCGAGCAGATCTGCGTCATCTGACTCCACGCCCATATCAACAAAGTTGTAACCGAGAAATCCGCTAAACCGTTCGGTAAATTCCACGTCCAGCGTGAGGTTAACGTCCCACAGGCTACCTTTATAATCACCGTATTCGATGGCAAAAAGATCAACATCGGCATTCACAGTAAACGGGCCACCGAGGCGACGAGAGTACTGCAGACCGACGACAGGCAGAGGCAGCACAATATCGGAGGTCTGCCGATCAACGGGCAAGCCAAGTAATCTGCCTTTTGCACGGAAACCAAAGTCTATTGCATGGACACCCAGCGACACCGATGTGTCAGTTTTCTCTGTCTGGTAGAAAGAATAAGCGTAGGCCAGTTTGAACACTTCAAACTTCATGTTTGTGGACAGGTTGGTACCAATCAGAAAAGTCTGGTCCCCGATGTTCAACTCACGGTCAATTATCCGCCGTCCACTTCTGGAAATGTCGTAATAGGCAAAATCCACCGAGTGTTTTGGCGCAAAACGCCAACTCAGATCCAGCCGAAAGGCCTCCAGAGCATCATCGAGGTCGAGTTCGCTTTCCAGGTCGGCGCCGGTGCCACGATCCCCATCAGAGTTATTGATCCGCAGCTCGGAATCGAAGTCCGTTACCAGGCCACCCAATCTCAGTTCGAATCCGGGCCAGGCATCCTCAGCGCCGAAAGTGCTGGCGGCGGGGAAAAGAAATAAAAGGCAAACTAGGATTCTCAGCTGCATTCGGATTACCTGCTCAATTTTGTCAGACTACGCCAACTTTAATTCACCCCGCTTCACTTCCCAAGGTATAATTTGCATCTCTCGTCGTTCTATATCATTGCCATCGATCCTGCAGGCAGGATTGACAGCGAAAATCACAAACCTATAAGGAAAATAAGAATGTATAAAGCGATTACTGTGTTGGGGTTACTGTTGCTGAGTGCAGCGTGCTCATCAATCAAAACTCAATCAGACTTTGACGCTGGTACAGATTTCAGCAACTACAAAACCTTCGCCTTTATCTCTGATTCCCCACTTATAGTGGCGCAGGCGGAACCGGTGAACCCGCTCTTCGAAGGCCGGGTTATGACCGCTACGCGTAACGAACTGACTAACAAAGGTTTCCAGTTTGTCGAAAACCGCGACCAGGCCGACTTTGTTATTTCTTTCACGATGGGTTCTCGTGACAAGATCCGCGTCAACAGCTATCCCAGCACCTACCGTGGTGGTCCGGGTGGTTGGGGCTGGGGCGCCCCCTATTACAACACCGAAGTAGATGTGCGTAATTACACCGAAGGTACCCTGGCCATTGATGTGTTTGATGTCGAAGCACGCGGCCCGGTTTGGCACGGATGGGCAGTGAAAACCATTTCATCTGCTGACCGAAGTAATCCAACCCCTGTCATCAACGAAGTGGTTGCAGCAATTCTGGCTCAGTTCCCGCCCAGCTGAAACAACAACTGATCTACGGGTTGGGCTCCTGCAATGTCATTGATGTTGCGAGCCCATCCAGACTCTCCCGCAACAACCTGGCCCAGTACTGGGCCATCCGCTTAACTTCTGCCCAGTTGCTTACGCTGTTAGAAGCAAATGGCATGCTCTGACGCTCCGCCGAGCGACGATCCGTCGCACGCAGAAGTACCGTATTGCTCTCGGCGTCCAGCAACTCCAGCATCAACGTGGCCTCTCCAGCCGACTCCAGATAAATGTCCACGCGTGCAGAGCGGTCAGGCGGCACCTTAGACACGACATCTAACAACCCGGCCCGAAGAATAAGTACATCGGGTCCAATCTCTTCGGTCAATTCGAAGTGCTTGGACTTTTCGAGCTCTTTTACAAACGCATCCGCAAAGGTCTGCTGCAAACGCTCACGGTTCTTCGCATCGATAGGGAAACTGTTTTCCCTGCGTTGTACCGCAGTCAGTCCACTTCTGGCAGCAGCGGAAGTGGGTCGATATTGAATACCTGTTCCTTCCAGCTTGATTCTGGTGTAACCGCTTAAATCCAAATCTGCTCTTGCCCACGCTCGATCTACAGTGGTGTGTGCAAAAGGATAAAGTCCATCAAACGAACGTTCCGCACCTGCAGACGTATCCAGTACAGCTGGAGATGTACACCCTACCGCCGCTAACACGGCCAAGCCCATGAAAAATCTCATAAATATCGCCATAACTTTATATTCCTGTTACCCGTTTTCCCCGACGACGGCGCTATCCGCCACAAACATCCATGTGGCATCTGGCTGCTGACAAAGATTGTAGTTCGCAACACCACGCTGCCCTTTTCGACTGATGTTCAGAAACGCCATGCGCCGGCATGTCTGATTGTCGTACTGAAAAGTCATGATGACTTTCATCGCACCTTTATTTCCGCTGTCTTCGTTCTGCCAGTTAACCTGTTCGCCATCCGGGGAAGCATCCAGCGTGCTGCGCGCATTGGACTTGATGAGATCCCAATCCGCTTCAGTGAAATTCTGCACAGCAGCGCCCCGCATCCAGC